ACTGAAAATTTGTCACCCCTCTCTCTGTTACTACTGTAGTGAGCCTCGTCATTGTGGTCTTAACATTTTTTTTATTACCCTTTTATCACGGGTTCGTGCAGAATAAATGAGGAAAAAAATTATGGCTGAGAAACACATACTTCACTTAAGTTAGTTAAAAACTTTTAAAATTTAAAATTTTTACTAAGAATTTACAGTAGACGTTACGGAGAAAGCCAATACCCACAGTCAGGCAAAGGACAACCACCAGAATGAGTGGAATCTCCCCCTTAAATACCCCTTAGCCCCTCCCACCAATTAACAAAACAGAGGGCTTGAAGGTTTAACTTGGCAAAAACTGTACTCATAACCATAAAGCAAATTGTTTATCAACGTAATCAAAATGACATCAATATTTCCCCATATGTCTATTACTCTATTAACTCAAACTCAAGAAATCGGGGAATAAACACACAAATGATCAATGTTCAGGCCGTGTTCACATGATGCCTAAAAGCGTGCAGGCACCAGGAATTGCTCTGATTTGGCCTGTGAAGCGGCGTGAAGACACCAACAGGTAAGGAGTGAGTGGGCGCATAGATGCTGAGTGTGCACCCAGGAACTAGCTGGAAGTCCAGGCAGCGGAAAACAGTTCGTAGGGGTAATCGCAGGAGACACGTGCGGGCCTGCAGGGAAACAGTGTACCAAAGCATGGCTCCACAAAAACAGTCTGGTCCCTGTTTTCTGGCCAGAGAAAGAGATGCTATTTTGTCCGTAAATAAATTCCTATTCCTAATATGGAATTCAGCTCCAAATTTCCTTGGGCTTCATTTGACTGGAGACGAACGCTGTGTGTGAATTCCTTAGTCCTGGTCCACATTTATTTGCCCCATTAACAAATCCTGGTCGATTTTCTATCAATATGCATGTGATCTTATATCAAACAAACATATCCAGCTCATAAAAACGTATGTTTTTACATAATCCATGTGCCTACACAGGCTCACTCTTTGAACTCCAGTGTGTTTGAATCTGCCTGCTGTTTACTGTCAGCCTGAGCTCTGTGAAATGACATCGCTAATGGTTCATTCTGTCCCAATATTTGTCTGTCTGTTGCCAGGTTGCAGGAAAATATGTTGGGAATTGTTTGATCTGGGAAAATATGCTCTAACAAGATTCTACAGATTATCCTCCTCTGAATGCATTAGCAGAGTCCAAAAATATGAAATTCTCTGGCTGTGTTTACATACTCACCAAATATCTGAGCATACCTGAAATGATAGAGAAACTATTTGAAACTATACCTTCTTTGTACTATTTAAAGGTGCTGTATCTGATCTTTACTGTCTTAAAAATGTAAGCCATGTTTGCCCAGAGTTGTGTTTTGTTTCATTCACACGTATTTGAGTAAACCTTGCCTACATCTCCAGCTCTGTTCCACCTTGTGATGTCATGAAGTGGCAATAGCGCAATGTGGGCTAAACTGTTTGCAGATTATAAACACAGGATGAGTTTATAAGATCTTTTCACAACTTTTGGAGACCAGAGCAGAGTTTTGCAGTCACAGTGAAACTAACGACACACTTCCTGATTATCAGATAACAAAATGCTTTGACTGACTTATTTTCACCTTAAGAGCTGCTCAGACAATTCTGTATATCTGTACTGAGACGAGACAAATTTTGTTCAAACACATGGGAAAAAAATTGGGTACATGTGACTGAAACCTGTCACCAAGTGTTTTAAAAAAAATCATATTTCTTTATTAGGGGTTTGCAAAAATATTGAAATATTGATATATCGTATAGTTTAATGTGATGATACAATATCGGTACCGTGGGCTGCTGTATATATATGTCGCCAAGAGTTTTTTTTTTGTATATTTTACTAAATTATTTTGTTACACTGCTACAGTTTTGTTGCTTGTTTAGTGGAAGAAAACTCGTTTATGCAACACATTTGACATTTTCACTGTTTTGATGAGTAAACTGGGTGCGCTTCAAATGAACTTTGCACAAGTGGTTTAACAAACACTTTTAGTATCACAGCCATGATTTAGCCATTATTTTTCATTGAACTGTATCGAATTGATTTGAAATATATTGTACTGAATCGAAAGCTCACTGTATCGAGATATGTATTGTATCGGAAGCTTCTGAATGATACCCAGCCATACTGATTATTGTAGTTATCTGAATTTCACTGGCCATTTAAATGTACTCAGTAGGAGCTCTTCAACTTACAGTATTTATACAAGCTTGTCTGCTCCCCATTGTGCAGGTTAAAACACCACTTCTATACGGTAACATGACAGGTTTTACAATAGACCTTATTTCTGTTTTGAATGGCTACAGCAGGGGGGCAAACTCACTTCTTGTATTTGCTTCAGTGTGCTTTGTCAGCTCATACAATTTGAACATACCTGAATGATACTTTGTAGTGACATCATGCTGGGGGTTCTGTATGGATGTCTATAGAGGGATGCTCAGCTGTTACCATGATGACACAGTGCAAACATGAGTGAACACAGCTCATAAAAATAACAAAATGGGTTTGAACAACACATTTTCATGAGTCTGGGATTAAACTCTCTGCTCATGGTCCCATTTAGCTGTGTAATAGACTAACTGTAAAAACTGTTTGTGACTGTAATTTTATGTGTGTGAGACTTGTTTAACAGCACAAATCAGCTCACCTGCTGTCGATCCAAGTAAGATTCAGATTTAAGTCTAATTTAAGTAACAAAGCTTCACACAGAGCAGTGCCTCTAGTTAGCTTTATCCCGCAAGGAACATTGAAGACATCTGTTACTCCCTGATTTGGAACCTTACCTGATTCAGATTAATTACTTATTTTTGAGATTTGAGAATTTACTTTTGGAATACAAACTGTTTTCTTGACTAAGTATAAAAACAATTTAAAACGAAGCAGAGCTTAGAAAAGTAAAACCTCTAACTTTGATGATTCTGGTCAAATACAATTGTTTTTGTTTCCATTTCTAAGAATAAACTCTGTGAAATAGTCAAATTTTACATTACACTATATTGCACTATTTTCTGATCTGTTATAATGTTGTTTCTGTTTCATTCACACATGTTTAACTTACACACCCTGCATATTTAGACTGACTTCTTCTCTCAGAAAACACAGGAAGTGCTGCAGTGTGTTTCTAAACTCCATGCACCTTCACTAGAATCATTTGGATAATTTCAGATCAGGAATTGACAATCTCCACCAAACTAAAGGTTTGTCTTTATCTTTATCTTGAAAACCACAGCTTCATGACATAACACGAGGTGGAAGAGAGCATTTTAAGTTTTGGAGATGTACACAGACTAAAAATAAAGGGTTACTCAATAGGGATGAAACAATAACCGAAATATTGTAATATTGTTTTGTTAAAAGTCTCACAATAATATCATGGGCTGTCACAATATATCGAATCACAAGTTCCTTCGCTTAAATGCATGGTTTTATAGTAGCAATAGCTTATAAACATAGGGAACTACATATCCCATGATTCATTTCAGCGCAGACAACATGAAGACATATGTTTTTTACTTGAATTCTTGGGATTATGACAGTAATAATTCACACCAAAATCTTGTCAAGATATTTTAAAAGCAAAAAAGTGTCACATCTGGAATTACAGTATATTAGTCTCTTTAAAATATTGCAATAAATACCGTACCGTGAGATGCATATTGTAATAATATCGTACTGTGAGATTTGGATATCGTTACATTCCTATTACTTAAACATGTGTGAATGAAACAAAACACAACTCTAGATGTTTTTGATGAGGTAACAACATTAGAACATGGTTTAACGCTCACAAGAGTCCATTTTGTATAATATAGCAAATAAGTTAAATCAACAACATCAGCTGCAAAGTATTAATAAGGTAGCTTATATTTTTAAGTACATTTCTATTATGAATGGCTGCAGCAGAGGGTGAATACAGCTCTCCTATTGATTCTGTGGGCTTTGTCAGCTCCCACCATCTGAACATATTAGAATTTACAGTTAAATGTGCCTCTGCAGTTGTACTCACGTCCCGGTGTGAAAAAAAAAAAAAACAACAACAAAGGGCCCCATCTTCTTTCATAACACCTGCCAGATGCTCCTGTCGCTGAGAATAAACAAAAGCTAGCGTCACCATGGCAACGGCGTGGAGAGATCTTCTACTCTTTTACATGTGTCCGTGTGTACTCATTATTATTAAACTAACAATTATTAAAAACATCAGGGTGAGGGGTCCTACTTAGTAATCAACACTGTCACAAGTAATGCTGATTAGCGAGTGTGGCTACGGTCCAATATGCAGAGATGAACGCGTTTTCACTGACAATATTATTGTTTAAAGAGGACATATTAAGTGAAATTTCGTTTTATGAGCTTTAACCATGTTGTAACAGGCTTTCCTCATTAGCTTACTCAAAGTTGTGTTTTGATTGATTCATGCGTATTTAAATAATCCTGCTTTGTCCTGCATTTGAGGCTTGAGTGCCTCAAATGCTCACTTACTGCTCTGTACCTATACAGTGGTCCCTGTTTATCGTGGGGTTTACGTTCTAAAAATAACCCACAATAGTAGTCAACTTTATATTTTACAGTTATTATATATGTTTTAAGGCTGTAAAACCCCTCACTACAAACTTTATAAACTTTTTGCATCATTCTTATTGCTGCTGCCGTCCTTTTATTATTTTCCTCCTTTATGTAACGAACTGAAGATTAATTTATTCCGTAATGGAGCCCTACAGCGCAGAGTCCTGCACGGGTCCATTTTTGGAGACCCGCACCCACGCGCACCTGCGCAGTACAGGTAACCCGAGATTATATCAAACTTTTGCGCTGCACACGCCACGGACTGAACCAAGACTAAACCAGGACTAACTTTGGACTGATTCCACAACTGAAACAAGAGGACTAAACCAGGACTGAATTAGGACTAAAACGGGACTAAAACAGGAGTAAACCAGGACTAAAACAGAACTGAAACAGGACTCACTGTCGGGATGTGCTCGGAGGTAGCCGCAGGAGAAAGGACCGGCTCAGCTCCGCACTTCATGAAGGTAAGCATGGCCGTCGCCCGATCATGCTTTGCGGACACCCTGCTTCGGTGTTCTCTCTCTTAAATCCAAGATTAGTCCTGGTTTAGACCTGGTTTAGTCCTGGTTTAGTTCTGGTGTTACTCCTGCCCGTTCATACATACATGCAAAATTGCACTAAAAAAATCCGGGAAACAGCAAGACCGCGAAAGGTGAACCGCAATATAGCGAGAGATGACTGTACTTCTGATTACTAAAGGTCCTATATAACACAAAACAGACTCTTCTAAGTTTTAAGTCATGTTGTAATGTTGTTTCCTCATCAACAACAAACATGTCTACATTTCCAAAGCTCAAAATGCTCTGCGCCTTGTGATGTCATGAAGCTGTAGTTTTGTTCAGTAAAGATTGGCAATTCCATGTCGGAAATCGTCCAAAATTATTCTAGTGAAGGTGTATGGAGTTTAAAAACAGAGTAGAGCACTTCTTCACTTTCCGTCTGAGAGAAGAGCTTAGCCTAAATATGCAGGGTCTGTGCGTTAAACATGTGTGAATGAAACAAAACACATTATAACATTATATAAAGGCCTAGATTTTGGGTTATGTTGCTTTAAAAAAGGACTTTGTATTTTCTGTGATAAAATCTAATGAAAATCTATACAGCCTGCTACAGTGAAAACTATTAAGAGTTTCCAACAGGACTTTAATGGACTTGTCTGTGTTATTAAGCTGCTTCAGATCAATATTGCATCTTACAAAGCACAAAATGTAAATATTGATCAACATTTAATGCATACATTTGATACTAACTGAAGGTACTACTCGATCTGCAGCTCTGTGAGTCACGTTAGACTTTATTTTAACACAATGAGACTAGAAAGAACTGACTTAGGCTATGTTACGTTCTGAACAGAAGATGCAAAAGTGGCATTGCGTCTTCACTTTTTATTTTGCGTTTAGTCAAGGGTTTTCAGGAGGAAATCTGTGCGCATATGTTGATGCAGAAGTGTGTGGAATTCGACTGGGTATGTGTGCCAGGCAGCTACTTGGTGACACGGGGTGGTGATGCATGTGACGTAAACGCATACATGACGTGAGCAGATCTGACCAGAGGTTTGCGTCTTGGGCAGTGCAGACGGAAACGCTACGGCGGAGTGTGTTTAACTTTTTCACTCTGGAGGGTGGATTTGGATTTTTACATTTTTAAGCCCCAAAACGCCATCACTGTCTAAAATCGATCAAATATTTTGTCATTTTTACCCGCAAACGTTCTCGTGTAAACAGGCCCTGAATTGAAACTGCAACAGATGAGATGATTTTTACTGTTAAACAAACCTCTCACACATAAAATTATATATAGTCATAGGATAACTACCATTAGCCAAAAGTTTTTCAGTTAGTCACTCTCACCTTTTTGTTGAAAATTAAACAGGTAAACAAGACTGTGAACAGTTGTATTGATCACAGGCTCCTGAAAATGTGTTGCTTAAATGTATTTTGTATTCTTGTATTTTTAGCTGTGTTTGGGAATATGTGAATAATACTTTGTCTCACCACGGTAACTACTGAACATTCTGCCATACACATTTATGTAGAACACCCTCAGAATGATGTCAGTGCAAAGTATCAAATCATTTAATACTATGCTACCGGAAAAAAGTATATGTCTGTAGTTGTCTGTGGGTTTCTTTCATGAGTTTCTAGAATGTAATTCCAAATGGAGGGATTTGCACAGCCAGACCCAGGAGAACTTCTCTGGCTTGGTGCTTGTTGACATTTCTTTCTGGGTCAAGTTGAAACTATGGGAAAATTGAAAGTTGGAGGCATCATCTGAACCAAGCTAGTAACGGGTGGTTTTGTGGGTTTGTATTGTAAATTAATTGAAAAAAACTGTTACACCAAATAATGCGGTGATTCAAGTCTAAATTGTGAACACAAACTATACAAAAACAGATGTACCATGCATATGATTAAAAGGTTTTCATTCCGCACTCTTCTCTCTAATTTATGTAATTAATGTCTCTTTCTCTCTCTTTTAATTTTAATCTTTAATTTTATGATGACTATTTATGTTTTGATTTGTTTTATTGTTTTCTTATTCTGTAAAGCACTTTGAATTACTTTGTGTACGAATTGTGCTATACAAATAAACTTGCCTTGCCTTACATTTATTCAATTACAGGTGGTTTTATAGCTCAAAAATAACTAGAAAAACATGTATTGTGACTATGAGTGTGGTTGCCTCTTCACACATCTGACCTGTAATTTAGTTTGGTCTCAATGAGGATAGAAAGGTTTAATACCATACTGTGAAACATTCCAAACAAAGCGATAACATCTCCTTGAAGAAAAGTATGTGACGGACCCTCCACCAGAAAAGTTACACAATGCACCTTTAAACAACATATAATTTGCTCTGGTTAATCATTTTCATTGGGAATATGTGGCAAGTTGAGAGAGTAGATTTAGAAAGACAGTAAAACATCAGAATAGAAAAGAATCAGACAACCAAATGTTATACTCTTATTTTTGCATGCCCAAAATAAAACTGATCAAAATCATGACATGTCAGTTAATGAATGGATTTTTAGAGTAACTTTCAATTTCTCTTAATTTTTTTTATTTATTTGGATGCCAAATTTCCTGCACAGGTATGAATAATCAGAAAGAAAACAGATTACTCACATCAGATGTAACTGAATCTGATTAACGTACGATTTTTGGACTGAGACAAACTTTATTGATCTACAAGGGAAATTATTTGATTAAGGGAAATTATAAGATTATTAAAATGAGTTTGTAAACAGCAAAATCACACAAATCATGGTCCCTCTGATTAGTAGCATCAGATCTGGTGGTTTGCATGTCATTTAAATAATCTTAACAGTCCAGACAATCACATCATAATCAGATTTTGGTGTGCGTGCAAACAGAGCCACTAGGGATGTAACAATAACCGAAATATCATGATATAATATCGTCAAAGGTCTCACAATAATATCGTGAACCATCACAATATATCAAATTGTAAGTCTCTTTGCTTAAATGAAGAGTTATGGTGCATCAATAACTAAAAAAAGACAGAAGGAACTACATAGACCATGATCCTTTGCTCAATTTCAGTGGAGACTACATGAAGAAATAACAGTTTTAAGCATTTTGAAGTCTTAGTTCTTTGGACTAAGTCTCATCAAGGCATTTTAAGACAAAAAAGTTGCATATTTTGTTAGCCTCCACAAAATATCGCAATAAATATCGTACCGTGAGATGTATATCGTGAAAATATCTAAAACTAGAGATTTAGACATTGTTGTCTCCCCACCATTCGTGAGCTTTCCCATAGTATCACAATAAATATCGTGCTGTGAGGTTCATACCATGATGATATTATATCGTGAGACTTTGATATTGTTACACCCCTAAGAGCCACTGTTTACATGACATTTCAATGATCTGATAACTCCAGAAATCAGATTATAATCAAATTACAATCAGATTTGTGTTGTGCATGTAAACAGAGCCATATGTGCTGATCCCTTGCATGCTAAATGAGGCTAAAAGTGACTGTTGATGAATGACATGTTAATGATATTATGTTTATTATTATGTTTGTGTGTCAAGCACTGCTTTAGAAACTTGATCACTTGGGAAAAAACAGTGGTAGCTGCTTGACCTCTTATGCACTTGTTTAACTCTGAATAATGCATTAAAAAGGGTCAACTTTAACCTTTCTTTCAGTACACTGGTAATTAAACAATTTGATAATAATAATTTGCATTGCGTGTGCTTTAGTAGTAAATTTATCTATTCTTGATGAGCAAAATCACAGGTCAGAAGGTCTCGTGTAAACTTATCATCCAAGTTCAATACCAGTAGTCTCTTGGGATGTGAACCATTTCCATGATAAAGTATATGGTCATTGTTGTTAAGGCAGAAGACTTCTACCTACGAGGCCATCAAAGCTTTGTCTGCAGCCCCGTGGGATCTGACACATACTTCACAAAGTCTCATAATGACGTTCTGACACAACCTGTGTTTTAAAGAACAGGAACACTTCCATTGTGCAGCCCCCTTCTTTGCAAACAACACAAGTAGCTTTGGTTTCCTAATAAGCCTTAAGGTAAGTTCCAGCTCCTTTTTTCACAAAAGCACTGATCACATATAGTCAAGAGACGATGGGCACGCCAAACTCAGCTCCGGCGACCTTATTTTTGTCCAATCAGAGGACGGCGTTATGAAAGTGTCAAAGGTATAAAACTAACTTTCACTGTGAAATCTGGTCAAAAAAACAAAGACGTGTTCAGTGGGATTATCTGAAACAGGTGAATACTAGTGAACAGGGCAGCATGATTTTAAAATATCGAATTGCATTTGTTTTTTTATTTGCAATTTATGTTTAGTTTGCAATATTCTGTGCACATTTTAAAGGCACTTCAGCTTTAAAATTTGAGAGGAGACTAAAATCTGAACTGATAAACTAATGCAAAAATCACATGCATGTTTGTAGAGGACTGAACTACAGATTTTTTTTTTTGATTTTTTTTTTTACATCCTACATTTTTGCAGAGGAATTTATGTTACTAAAATAACTGCAGTCTTTGCGATTTGCTAATTGTGATCATTCAAAGCACAATTTAATTTGTTTTTGAAAAATTCTGAAATTGTGAAAATATTTTGTTGCAGATTTCTAAACCCAAGATAAACATGAAGCGTTTTATTATTATTTCCATGGTGGCTTCAATGGTGGCTGTGAACAAAGGCCAGATCACCAGTCAGATCGCAGGGATGCAAACTGCTCTATCAAACCCAACTGTATGTACTCAGTCTGCTACAGACTGGAGGAGACCAGGTACTGTACAGATGCTATTTTGTCTATGTTCAAATCTGAAAATGGCATTCATATAGTTTACCTTTTTATCTGCTAACCTATTACACTGAAAAAGAGAGTTTTGAAATTCCTTTTTAAGACTTTTTTCATATTTCATGCCAAACATAAAGAGATGATTAATTTTACATTTTATTTGTTGTAAATTTTTATGGTTGTGTTGTTGATAATATGTTGTTAACTATAATAATTACCTTTTAAATAGCCTTAATAAAGCATGAACAAAAACAGTACTTACTAAGCTTGAATCATTCTTAAAAAAGGATTAGTTCATTATGAATTAAGTCTTTATTGATGCTTTATTAAGGCTGTTTTAAGGTGTAGTTATTATAAAATGGTACCAACTTACAATATATATATATATATTTTTTAAATTATACATAATGAAAACAAAAAATTGGGGAAAAAAAAAAAAAACTCCTACAACTCACTCCTCTGTCCACACCCATCACAATCAAAACTACAAAAAAAAACAAAAAACACTGGACATACACTCAAACATCAACAGTCATGTCACATTCTCTCAGGATGTTCAAATAGTTTTCAGTCATTTCTAACTAATTCTTTTCCCTTTCTTCCAGTACTGAGCGATATCTCAGTTGAATGTGGGACATCATACATAGGTCTGGCGATCCAGCTGTGCCCAGTCCTCTACACCGGCTACAATGAAACTCTGCTCATTATCAACCAGATTTTTGGTAACTCCAACTGTAAAGGCACCTTAGATGAGACGGTCTTTCCTCCCGTGGTCCGCTTCAGGTTCCCCATCAACATGACGCACGCTTGTGGAAGCAAATTTGTGGTTCGTGCATTTTTATTTTTCAAATGTGTTTAGAAATCTCCATGTTTATTAAAGGTCCTATATTAAGCAAAACTGAAATTGAATTGTGAGCTTTAAGCCATGTTAGAATGTTATATAACTGGATTTGTGTTTTGTTTCTTTCACACATGTCTGAGTAATGCCTCTGTCTGCATCGTCCAAGTGTAAAATGTTCTGTTCCACCTTATGTTATTAGGTTCTTTTTTCAAATGAAGAGTTTGTTTTCATACCTGACAGTTTCGACTTCTCACTAGCGGTCTTCCTCAGACTGGTCACATGATGTTGCTGTGACGTGTCCGGTCAGTTGATTTATACAGTTTTTTGGTGTTGTCTTCCTACTGGTGGAGGCAGAATGACAGTGCCATCTGTAGTCCAACTTCCTCAGGTCACATGAGCATTCTGAGGAAGACCGCCAGTGAGCAGTCGAAACTGTCAGGTATGAAAACAAACTCTTGGTCTGAAATAAGAACCTAATAATATAAATTATCGGAGGACCAAATGAACTTCATTGGACTATTCTGTTCCACCTTGTGATGTCATGAAGCGGTAGTTCTAATGTTAACAGCTCCATTTGTATGGAGTTTAAAAACATAGTGGAGCACTTCCTGTATTACCACATGACATCACAAGGTGGAGTGTTTTCTGTTTGGAAGAAAAACTCAGTGTAATATTTATAGTTTTATGTCAGTTAAAGCTACAATCTGGAATGTTCAACAGTTTGGCATTTTAATTATTTTTCTCTACGGAGACAGAAGGTAATGCCATAGGGCCAAGTTACGTGTCAGATCTGTGGAAAGGCGAGCCACTCACAGTAAGACTGCAATTTTTTAGGTAAAAAAAACCCCAAAACATGTTATTGAGTAAATGCAAGATGGATAAGTTTAATGTCTCACGGGACATTCAAGACAAAGCAACAACATCTCCATGGAGACAAGCACATTGCAGACCCTTCACCAGAAAAGTTACACAGTGCATCTTTATCTACGATTTAGTGAAATGAGCAGTTGAGCCGTTCATATGCACTTTTAAGATTGTTCTCATTGTTACTTACAGACCATCAGTGGACCAGGCACAGGGGTCTTTGCTGACTTCTCCAACATCGAGACAGTAAACATCAGTGGAAGTGTGACTTCTCTGGATCCAACTCAGGGAAAAGTGACCTATAACGCAGAACTGTCATATTTCTACTCATGTGCCTACCCCCTGGAGTACTTGATCAACAACACACGCATAGATGTGTGAGTAATCTATAATTTTATATACTTTCCAGCAGAGGTGAGTAAAGTAGCCAAAACTGTACTCTAGAATAACGCTACTTAAATATAATCTTAGTAAAATAAGTAAAAGTAGTGGTACAAGAAATGACTAATGGTAAAAAGGTATTTTGGAGAAATTACTACTCAAGTACAAGTATTTTTTATAAACAGTCTGAACATAACATCTGATTTAATTTGTTTTCAGTTAATGGAAATGGAAGGATAAAGCAATAAATAATGCACAAACTGTGGTATTATGAAAGGACCACAAAAATGAACAAATGTTTAAATCATTTAAAATTATCAACATAACCCTTTTGCCATTTGTAGACTTAGAGTAATCAAAACTTTTACTCAAATATACTGTTACCTCTAACTAAATATTATTCAAGTGTGAGTAAAATCCTCCCAGTTGTCCAAAAACTACTCTGAAGAGTACAGCCCACCTCTACTTCCTACTTTGTACCATGGTCACTTATGTTATGTAACTCTGCCCTTGGTCTCATTCAGGTCGGCATCTTCCATTGCAGTGAGGGACAACAATGGAAGTTTTATCAGCACTCTGAGCATAGAGCTGTACAGTGTAAGTACATCTGTAGTCATATCATTGTGCAATATTAACATAGACTATATATAAGTGGACATAGCTCCCCTGCTTGGCTCCATGTTCTAAAGAAAAATCCCCTCTCTGTAACTTCTTTAGTCAACCTTGTCATTCTAGCCTTAAATTGTTTGTTTAAACAGCTCTACGTGCCCCTGGTGTTTTTATTTTGCTATTTTGTCTGTCAATCAAGATATGAACATTAATAAGAGACCAATCAGGCACCTTCTTTCCCCGAGATAGGCTACAGTTATGGACGGGTTTGACTGACAGCTATTGTTAAGCATCAGCCCCGTGCCCACCAGCGGCGCAGGTTAGTAAGTGGCAACCTTCAACAACCTTGCTTCTGATTGGCGCTTCAATTGCCACAAAACCTGCACTCTTGCACTCTAAACATGGATTTGGCCAGCGTTAAACAGTATGGTGTCCCTTAGTTCACTTCTATATACAGTCTATGCATAATAATGGAAGTTTTGTGTTTATACTTTTTTTATTTGTGATGTGAATGTTTCAGGATTCGCAATTTAAAATCCCTCTGACAGTACCAAAGGAGGGTCTAGAGCTCAGGACTGTGATCTGGGTCATGGTGAGAGCGGACAACCTGACTGACCAGTAAGGTCCAAATGTTGTTCTTGATAATGCTGCTTAAATCCTTAGATATCAGTAGAACACGAATAAAGGCTGGAGAGATCATGGCGTGGAAATTGCTGTGGTCAATGGGTAAATAATGTAAAAACAGCCCAAAACACTGCACTGGTTCATAGCCTTTGTTTTAAAAGATTAAAGGGCCTATATTACGCTACTGTTTGATCTATGTTAAAATATTGTTACCTCATCATAAACCCACCAAGAGTTTTGTTGTGTTTCATCCACACATGTTTAACACAAACCCTGCATATTTAGGATTAGTTTTTCTGTCAAATAGAAAACACTCTCTTCTACCTTGTGATGTTGTGGTAATACAAGAAAAACTCCACTGTGTTTTTAAACTCTATACACCTTCACTAGAATCATTTGGAAAATTTCAGCTCTGAAATTGCCAATTTGCAATGAGCTAAGAGTAAAAGGTAGAGGCTAACTTGAAAACTACCACTTCATGACATCATGAGGTTGAACAGAGCATTTTGAGCTTTGGAGATATAGACTGACTAATAATAAAGAGTTGCCATATTTTTTGGACCATCCGTCCATTCAATGACTTCCAGAAAAGTTACATGGTGCATCCTCCCGGTTGTCGTTCACTCCAGACTTTCTTTCTGCTGTTCGATTATCGTTTTCAGCTGTATATTTCAGTACTTGCAGCTTGTAATCTGCAAAATATGATTTTCTTTTTGGGGGCATTTGTGTTCAGTCTTCTCAGCCATCTTTGTTTAAATAAAACATTTTCAGTGGTACAAAAATGGTGCGATCAGCTAACATGATACCAGACCATAGAACTGTGTACCAGACAGGACAGAGGCTCTTTCTGTAGGAGACATACTCAGTAGACGGTGGTACAGGAGTAACAGGAATAGCAGATACTGGCAAATGAGCCTAGAGTGCCCTCTCGCAGCTGTCAGGGTGAAAATTTTAATATCCTCTGGAGAATAAGTTGCAGGACCACCCAAACCATGAAAAAAAGTGTGACTTATAGTTTGAAAAATATGGTACTCAAACTTGTGAATGAAACAATGTACAGCTCTGGGTATCTTTCTGAGCAGGCAACAACATTATAACATGACTTAAAGTTCACAAGAGTAAATTTTGTGTAATATGGGACCTCTAAATTATGTTTATGTGTGGGTACAATATGGACACAACCACTGGAATACACTGAATGACTGTGTTCAAGTCCTGACCCCTGCATGCTCTGACCAACAGGTACAGCGTGTTAATGGACAGATGCTACGCCTCCATTTCTCCACTTCCAACAAACTCCACTTTCTTCAACTTATTTGTGCCGTAAGTGGTTACATTGTCGGAAACAAAAAACATCATGCTGTGTGTTAAGAATCAGAAGAAGTTTTATTGCCATTGTCAATTAACAAATTCCATAGTTGTCTATGAGTGTCTATGTGGTCTTATATGTTCATTCTAAAACTATTCAAGAAAAGTTTATTCTTGTCCTGTGAATGTGACTTTTTGAGTATCGATACTTGCTCAAATTAGTATTTAGTTTTGATACTAGTTTTAATGTTGATTAGTATTTGATATTTGACACTTTTGACAATCCCAATCTAAAGATGATTCTGATCTACAGATGTTCCCAAGATCCTTTGACAACAATCTACCTGAACGGAGACGGACACAGGGCGACCTTCTCCTTCCAGGCCTTCCGCTTCCTGGAGCAACAGAATGAGACCGTGTCCACGTACTATCTGCACTGCATCACCCGGCTGTGTGAAATCAGCACCTGTGAATCCTTCAAGGTCTGAAGACTACTGTTCCCTCTCTTCTAGTATTCAGTCTATCACCTCTAACACTCTATAGCTACTACACTTGATAAAGAAAGACTTAATTTAATCAGCAAATAGGCTTAGTAGCTGCTTAATTGAGGGATTAGGAGTTAGTGTTAGAACAGTGGATCAAAAACTAAGAAAATATTTAGACTTCTGAGTACCACCAGATTTAAACCAGGTCTAAAACTGGACTATTCTTGATCTAAACCAGAGCTAAACCAGGCAATGACTAACCCAAACAAGGTAGAAATTGAAGGTAACGTGATGCAGCCGCTTAGCAACAAATCTGTCAATGAAGTGACCTTGGGGAAAGCAGGCACCGGATTTGTCGGTTATTAATGTTCATATCTTAATTTAGGGACAAAATAATGAAATAAAAACCCCAAGATCATATAGGGTGGGTTCAAACCAACATTTTAAGACCAAAATGACAAGCCTGACAGCAGTAGTTACAGAGAGAGGGGTGAAGATTTTTCAATAGAATTGGATCCAATATGGAGACCATGTTCACTTCCTGTTTAGACTGCAGTGGCTAGCACATTATCCATTTATATATACAGTTTATAGTTGGTGTCATCTTGTTAAGATCATGTGTATCTGTGTATTTACAGCAATGTTCCAGTAGGAGGAGGAGAAGAGAAATCAAGTCGACTGAACTCGGAGACCTCACCACTCTCACCTCAAAGATCCCAATAGTGACCCAGAACAACAACAGTATGAGCAATCAATTCTTAACTATTCTAAACTATATGTAATACTACACAAAAATAAACTATAGATAATTGTTAGATGAGGTTTTGGTTAAAGGGCCAAATTACGTTGTTTTCTCTATGTTATAACGTTGTTTCCTCATCAAAAACAGACCTGGAGTTGTGTTTTGTTTCATTCACACAAGTTTAACTCACAAACCCTGTTTATTTAGGCTGAGTTTTTTTCTCAAATTGAAAACTCTGTAATACAGGAAGTGCTCTACTGTGTTTTCAAACTCCATCCACCTCCACTAGAATCATTTGGATAATTTCTGAGCTGGAAGGGTCAATCTACTGAACTAAAGGTAAAATGTAGCTGTGAACTTGAAAACTACTGCTTCATGACATCACAAGGTGGAACAGAGTATTTTGAGCTTTGGAGATGTAGACAGACTAATAGTAAAGGATTGCTCAAACATGTGTGAATGAAACTTTTTGAGGAGGTAACAGCATTCTAATATGGTAATTAAACTGGACATTAAATTAAACTGGACAAACCTGATAACAGCATTATAGAAAACCTGTTGTGTGTTTTTTTTTTTTTTTTTCAGAGAAAGCACATTTAGTTTAAGATGAAGAAAATGACAGACATATGTTTCTAACTTGTAATTGTTTTGTTCTTTCAGAAGAAACTGTTCCGGTACAAGGTACAGTAAAAAAAAATTTATATAAGTAATGCTGTATTATTAGGCATTATTAGTTCCTAATAATAAGTAATAAGTATTTTTCTTACAAACTTCAAACAAACCCACACTGGCTTTGTTTTGTATCAGACTTTTAAAATGATATAAATAACATGCAAACTGCTAAATCTTACATGAGCAATTAGATCAAAATGCGTGTTGTTTAAACAGCCTTGTCTGATGATAATTCAATTCTGAGCTAGACTAGACTACAGTATTGCCTTAATAAATCATTGAGAAAGACTTAATTCCCAATGAACAAATAGTTTATTGAGAATGAATCAGCACTGACTCAGATTAGTACTAGTAATACTACTTTAAACCCTAATTCCCAAAGCCTGGATCATTCTAAACTATTTGTTCATTTTGTCATGTATTTTGCACTGTGTCATTTTTGGGTTGGAGGTCCATCACCTGCTTGTTTTTATGGATATGTCATTGCTCTGCCTGGAATGTTCCACAGTATTTATTCAGTTACAGGTGGTTTTATAGCTCAAAAATTGTAAAAAAACAAAAACAAAAAAAAAACAAAAACAAAACCAAACAGATAAAGCAATAACATCTCCATGGAGAAAAGCCTTTGATGGACTCTCCACCGGAAAAGTTACACAACATACCTTCAAATCTTTGTTCATACTTTATTAAGGCTAATTAAGGTGTAGGTGTATTAAGGATAATTAAGGTAGTAGTGATTATAAAGTGGCACCCAATTAAATCCATCATAATCTTTGGTCTTGTGGTTTTCGCAGGTCCTGAGAGGTCTGTGGGGGAGTCAAAGAAGGGTCTGGAGATCGCGGTGGGCATCTTGGCTGTGGCGGTGGCTGCTGTCTTTGTGGTGGCTGCTGTCTTCTACAAGAGACTCAAACACTAAAGAACAAACATAATGAAGCACCATACGTCATGTCTGTCGCTATGGTAGCAGTTTTATCGCATGACTCTAGTTTGGTTTCATGGTATTTTATGTGCATGAGTAATGATAGACCATGAATGCAAAAGCAAAAAGACAGGTTTTGATATGGAAATGGTGCTGTTATTTAATGGAGCACTATGTAACTTTACTAGAGAGGGGTCCGCCATGGAGATGTATAGCTTTGCCTGGAATGTTCCGCAATATGGCATTACAACTTATCTATTGCAGATCTTCAATTCAATTATTATTTCTGTGCTCAAAAATAGCTTGAAAAATCGCATCCTGGTGGTGCCATTTGCTTGTCCATAGATTTAGATAAGCATAAAGCCATATTGTGTAACATTAATGCTTCGTGCACCCTTAATTTGAAAAGTTACATACATGTTTTTTAAAGATTTGATGGAATAGAGTGACACGGTTTAGCTTTTGGTCATTCTGGAAAGGCACTTGTGAATAATGTGAAGTTATGAGGTCTGTATTGTCAGATTTTTGCACTTTGAAGCAAAGAAATGACTGATAATGAAGATTGTTTAAATATCACAATGTCATTTTTTAATAGATTTAAGATTGTAGGAATATATTTATGTTTATATTAATCCCCGCGTTGTGTACTTATTACTAAAAATGGCTGGGGGGCATGCAAAGTTAGAGAATAAACTGTTGTATATGGGAAGCAATGGTCTTTTTAATGTTTTTTATAATCTCATCACTATTATGCAGAGATTGTGTGTGTTGTTTCTTTTACTGCAGCTCTATAATGTATATGGAAAGTGTTACATTGATACAAGTTCTCATTAAATAAACTGTTAAAATCAACAGTCAACAAGCCTATGTGTGGTAATGTTTCTTTTTTTCCATTTGTTGGGAATACATAATTGAACTATAATGGATTTGTCTCAGAATATTGCTCCATTGCTCAATCGTGCAATGTTATGAAATTGCATTTACTAAAACAATTCAAGCCAATAGCCAGACTTGTAAATTACATAGTCCTCATGTCACATATCCAACCCCATTGATCAAACAAGAAAGGTCATTATTTCTATTAGGTTGTTCTGGGTAGTTTGAGCTCTTTTTGCTGCTTTTAAAGCCCACAAACCAATTAAAGATGCACCATTTAACTTTTTGGAGAGCAGCCACTACCAGCTGATCACCATTGAAATGTTAATATTTTTCACAGTATTAAACATACAGTATATATCTTGTATTTATTTATTTATTCATTTTGGTTTATTTAACAGGGACAGTGTACATTAATCAACATTTCTGTAAATGTACCAGAATTAGCGAGAGAGACAATTTTTCATCTGTAGTCCCTGGACAGATGGTAAACATGGTCGCCCTAAAAACACAACAATAAGAATTATATATAAAAAAGTGCAATTGTGCATAACAGTTCAATTAGGTAGTGAGAATACAAACAGACACTAACAACCATAACCACAATGTACACATTCAAGTACACGTATATTCAGTTACAGGTGTTTTTATTGCTTAAATTGACTCTTGTGATCTTTAAACCATGTTAGAATGTTGTCATCTCCTCAAAAACATACCTGGAGTTTTGTTTCATTCATGTTTGAGTAACCCTTTATTATTAGTCTGTTTACGGCCCCGTTTACACGTACAAGGGGATTTTTAAAAATGGAGACATTTCCCTTTGTTTGTTCCCATCTTTTATATGCAAACGGTGAATTTGCACCTGAAAATGAATCTTTCTAAAACTTCAGCTAGAGCGGAGATTCTGGAAAACTACAGTTTCACGTTTCTTCTGGTGCAGACACTTTTCATGTGTTTGCATTTGCATCCACAGCTGACACAACTTGCATACACAGCTCATATCAATGACCAGACAAGAATGAGAACTTGGAGGTCAACAATTTTTCCACTTTTTATATCATATCTGTAAAAACATAATGCACGTTTTTCAAGATATTTTGAGTAATACTTATAATTGAAATGAAATAAATGCTACAGGTTTGAATCTAATCCAGTTGTCGTCTAGAGGCTTGGCGTAGTCATGATGGTGCTCAGTGGCATATTTATGCGGTTTGACGTAAATGAACACTTTTTTGAAAACGATGCTATGTGCACAATGTTATTTTGGAAATTGAAGGGAGGGAAATATTCGTTTCTCAACATATCCGGCTATGTGTAAACATCGTCTACATCTCTCAATCTCAGAATGGGCTGTTCCACCTTGTGATGTCATGAAGCTGTAGATTTTTAAGATGATAGCTCCTTTTACCTTTTATTTATTAGAGACTGGAAATTCCAGGGCACAAGGTGGAGCAAAGTGTTTTCTGTTTGAGAAAAAAACTGAGCCTAAATATTGAGGGTTTGTGTGTTAAACATGTGTGAATGAAACAAAACACAACTCCACAACATATATCAGAAAATAGGCTCTTTAAAAATATCTTGAAAAACATGAATGCTTATTTTGAGTGGGGTTACCTCTTCACAGTCCAGACATGTAACTACTGACTACTGTGTCACCTGCCTGCCTCCATGGATGTAGATGAGTTTAATGTTGTTTTTTTTTTTACTATTTCAGGCAAAACAATAACATCTGCAGGAAAACATCCAGGTGACACCCCCTCCTTTAGAGAAGTTACATAACGTACCTATATATATCATGGAATTAGTACATTATAGTCCTTGCAGTGTCCTTGTGTGAGTCGATGGCTTTTGTCACAACAACATTCGTCTTATTGATTTTACCATTACACATGATTTCTACAGGAAACCAACATAGAATACATAAAGAGAATAGATTTGCTCTTAACGCAACTCACCATGGAACTTTTCACTTGCAGCTTATCTCCATGGGGATGTTACTGCTTTGCATAAGTGCCCCACAGTATTGCATTAAACTTAGAGACAAAGTGACATTGCCTGACTAAGTTACGGGTTAAATCTGTGGAGAGGGCAAGTCCGCTTACAGAAAGAATGAGCATTTTTAGAATTTTTGAGCAATAAAAAATGCCTGTAATTGATAAATGAAGCATAGATAAGTTTAATTTCATACTGTGCAACAATCTACGCAAAGCAGCTCCATGGAAACACCTTTAAATAAGATGCAACCAGTATGTAATAGTGGATGATGTTACAAGGTCATGTATCCATTACTTGAACGTTCTTGTTTGTCTTCAACCCCATTAGAGCTTCACAAGGTACTTCCAAAGACGTATCCAGTTTGCAGTTATAGACACACAGCCACAAAGGGTGACACCAAACCTAAGACTTCATCTATACAGCCTGTTCATTACCTTGACCTGTAAGCACGAGACATCTCAGAAAGTACCGCTATTGAACATACAGCCTTCGGTGGAAATGGGGGACATCCAATACCTCGAAGTCAGCGTCATCCTCTGGACAATGGTCAGACCACACCTATGCCTTTTGCATGTCCTACATTTTTATTACTATTACTATGCTACATACTAATATCACACTTTAAATATTGTTGATTTAAGGTCCTACATTATGCAGTTTTGACTCTTTTGGGCTTTTTGTCATGTTGGAATATTGTTACATCAACAAATACAGAGCTGGAGTTGCGTTTTGTTTCATCCACACATGTTCGAGTAATCCTTTATTATCTCTCTGTTTTTCTGGAGTTATCACATTACTGAAATGTCATTAAAGGGACAGTTTGGAATTTTGGACATACGACCTCATTTCTTAGTGAGCCAGAGTGTTGGAGACGTGTGGAGACACTTTTTAAAATATTCCATCCAGTCCTTGTATTTGCAGAGGTCACTGGTGCTAGGCTAGTGCATGTCAATGGCCATAGTTAGCCTGCCACTAAAATCAGTCTTACCCACACCACAACACAAAACACCTGAGGAAAAACAATTATTATGCTAGACTGTCTACGTAAATGTCTGTGTTGATAGAATAATGTTTGAAATAAAACTAACCTTGCATCGCATGAGTCGTCGCATGTTCAGGGACTATTTTCTCATATATCAGTCCACCGCTGCCAAGGAAGAACAACTCGCTGTTGCTGCTCAGCCATAAATGCTTCAAATGCAAGGTTGGTTTTACTTCTAAAATTATTCTATTGACACAGACATTTACATCGACAGTCTGGCGTTATAAGTGTTTTGCATCAGGCGCTTTGTGGAGTGAGTAAGATTGTTTTAAGTGGCAGGCGAACTATGACCATAGGACTGGATGGAATATTTAAATAAGTGTCTCCACACGTCTCCAACACTTTGGCTCACTAGGAAATGAGGCTCTATGTCCAAAATTCCGAACTGTTCCTTTAAAACTGTTCTATCTAATGTGAGTAATCAGATTTCTTTCCAATTTTTCACACCTGCCCATGTTTTGACATGGGATATTATAAAATTGGTAATCTAATGTGACAATGAAATTTAAAATGTCAAATACTGAAAGATATTTTAAAATTCATTAATACACCAGTTTCTCCAAATATCCATTAATTAACTGACTAACTGATGTACGAGGTGTTTGGTTGATCAGATTTCTTAGTGCATATAAACACACGCCGAAAATCAGATCTTATTATTAGCTTGTCTGATTATTCTAGTTATCTGATTTTTACTGGCCATATAAATGTGCCTGCTAACTTTGATAATAATAGCTTGAAAATACAGTGCAGCGTGTCCAGTGATGTGAGTGACACTGGTGAGATTGAACAAGAAATGCTTTGACAGGAACAGAATTTTTGGAAGATTTTTACCCCGAGAGAGTACTGATCCAGCCAAAGAAGGAGGACAGATTTTGCATGAATAGTCTCTTTGCTCTTGCCTTTTTTGGGTGGTAGAGCAGCTGTGTGCCACATAAACCTGTCCGATATTGCAGGCTGAAGTTCCCTGTTCACATTCAAAAACATGCTCAGAATATCAGACTGATGCCTCCTCCTCACTGCTTTCACCCCAATGCAGTAACCCATTAAAGGTGCACTATGTAACTTTTCTAGAGGGGGGTCC